TATTCTATTCCTATTGATAATCGAAAGACACCTTCCACATCAAAGTCAACTAAACTTGCCTATACAATTTCAATAAAATATTCTTTAGTAATATGATGAAAATGTGCAAAACGTATTCTATCAAAAGTGATCTTTTGGAGTATAACAACTTCGGCATCCATAAAAAGCACCTTGTTTTTTGACATTACTGAGTTCATTTCTCTGTAGCAAATCTGCCATTACTAGTTTAATAGAAGCAATAACCCAAACTCGTTCACTATTTATCTTCATTACAATTGACAAAGTTCTTTAACTAGAAAATGTATCACATTATCAAAATGATCTCCAAATAGTATAAAACCGATGATAAAATGATTCTTTAATTGTTTTCTTAAATTAAATAGCATATTACCTATTTGAATATAAATACTACCTAATGAGTAGTAAGAATTGCGAAAAGTATCAAAATCGTCATTATAAATATTTACCATAAATTTAAATATTTTTATATTATGCAGAAGCAGGTCTGTAGTAGTAATATACTCAGAAGGATGATGGTGATGCAAATTTATTGGTCAGATTTGAAATCGTCTAGTATTAATGTCTTGGTATAAAATTTCAGATACATAAAAATTATAGAACACAGATTGGGGAACATCTTTAAGCCATATAGAAACGTGTCTTAGAATATGACTAGGTGAAACAATTTGATAATCCTCTTCGATCATCCAAAGTTTTTTGTATCCTCGATCATTTCTATCTTTGCTACAATAAACCCTAATTTATTATGTCTTAAAAGTCTTGACATTTTTAATGTATCTTGTATTTGATTATTTGAATAATCAATATTAGATTGTGATAAGAGTAAAATAATAGCTTCTATTCTTCCAAAATGTCTCTCACGTTGACTACTTTTATTAGTATAGATAAACTCAACAAATTGTCTTACAGTATATTCAACTAAAAACAAATTAAAGTTATACATAAAAACAAATAAACAATAAATATACATGCCTTATCATTATTTATAATAATAGTTGTATTACTATATAAAGGAGACCGTTGCCAGATATTACTATGCCACATTTCTGATTTTTCTTAGACTTCAATACCACTACCAAAATACATTTTAGTCATCAGTCATGAATTGTTTAAAATATACTCAAGATATTTCTTTATTGAAATTGTATAGGCAAGTTTAGTTGACTTTGATGTGGAAGGTGTCTTTCGATTATCAATAGGAATAGAATA